GTCCCCCCCGGGGGCTGGTGGCCGCCTACAGCGGGGAGAGCGAGAGTGAGGAGGAGGGGGAGCGCGGGGGGGCCCCGGGGGTCCCCGAGGAGCCGCTGACAGACTGGGCCAAGCTGGCGTGCCTGCTGTGCCGGAGGCAGTTCCCCAGCAGGGAGGCTCTGCTGCGCCACCAGCAGCTCTCGGGGCTGCACAAGGTACCCCAAAGAGCGCGAAAACACCCCGAAAACAGCACGAAAACAGCGCGAAAACACCCCGAAAACACCCCAAAACCAGCGCAAAAACAGCACAAAAACACCCCGAAAACACCCCGAAAACAGCGCAAAAACAGCGCGAAAACACCCCGAAAACACCCCAAAACCAGCGCAAAAACAGCACGAAAACACCCCGAAACCAGCGCAAAAACACCCCGAAAACATCCCAAAAATACCCCAAAACCAGCGCAAAAACAGCACAAAAACACCCCGAAAACAGCACAAAAACAGCGCAAAAACACCCCGAAAACAGCGCGAAAACACCCCGAAAACAGCGCAAAAACAGCACAAAAACACCCCGAAAACAGCACAAAAACAGCGCAAAAACACCCCGAAAACATCCCAAAAACACCCCGAAAACAGCGCAAAAACAGCACAAAAACACCCTGAAAACAGCACGAAAACAGCACGAAAACACCCCGAAAACAGCACAAAAACACCCCGAAAACAGCACAAAAACACCCCAAAACCAGCGCAAAAACAGCGCGAAAACACCCTGAAAACAGCGCAAAACCAGTGTAAAAACACCCCGAAAACACCCCAAAACCAACGCAAAAACAGCACAAAAACACCCCGAAAACAGCGCAAAAACACCCTGAAAACACCCCAGAATTACCCTCAAACCAAGCCCAAAACAAGACCAAAAACAGACCAAAAACAGCACAAAATTACCCTGAAACCAGCCCCAAAACAAGGCCAAAACCAGCACAAAAACACCCCAAAACCAGAACAAAAACAGCCCAAAACCACCACAAAAACAGCCCAAAAACACCACAAAATTACCCTGAAACCAGCTCCAAAGCAGCACAAAAACATCCTGAAAACAGCCCAAAACCACCACAAAATTACCCTGAAACCAGCTCCAAAGCAGCACAAAAACATCCTGAAAACAGCACAAAAACACCCCAAAACCAGTCTCAAATCCACCCCAAAAATACCCCAAAACCAGCCCAAAACCACCGTGATACCAGCCCCAAAACCACCCCAAAAACAGCCCCAAAACATCCCAAAAACAGCCCCCAAAACACCCTGAAATCAGTCTCAAATCCAGCCCAAAACCACCCCAAAAATACCCCAAAACCACCGGGAAACAAGCCCCAAAACATCCCAAAAACACCCCAAAACCAGTCTCAAATCCACCCCAAAAATACCCCAAAAACATCCCAAAACCAGCCCAAAACCACTGTGGAACCAGCCCCAAAAACACCCCAAAAACACCCCAAAAACACCTCAAAAACACCCCAAAACCCCCCCAAAACATCCCAAAAACACCCCAAAATACCCCAAAACCAGCCCAGAATGCCCCCAAACCTCCCTGAATCTCAGGCACCTCCCACTGTGACCTTGGGGACCCCGCTGGGATTTTGGGGTCCCCTAAACTGAGGGGTTCACCCCAATGTCCCCGATGTCCCCAATGTCCCCAATGGTGTCCCCGATGTCCCCAGCAAAACCTGGAGCTGCAGCGCCGGAGCCACCTGGGCGCCCCCGAGGGAGCTGAGAGAGGGGACAGCGAGGTGAGGGGACACTGGGGACATTGGGGGACACTGGGGGACACCCAGGGGTGAGGGGACAGCAAGGTGAGGGGACACTGGGGACATTGGGGACACTGGGGACAATCGGGGGACACTGGGGACAGTTGGGGTGAGGGGACACTGGGGACATTGGGGGGGGTTTTGGGAGGTCCCGGGGGGGTCTCTGTGTGTTTGGGGGTCCCGGGGTCACCCCCTGCCCCCCCCAGATGAAGTACCGCGACCGCGCCGCCGAGCGCCGCGAGAAGCAGGGGGGACCCGACCCCCCCGAGCCCAAACGGCGCAAATTCGGGGGACCCCCCGCGACCCCCGGGTGAGCACCCCGAAAACGGGGGGGGGATACGGGGGAGGACCCCAAAAACGGCGATGGGACCCCAAAAATGGGGATGGGAACCCAAAAATGGGGATGCAGACCCCGAAAAGGGGGATGGGGACCCCAAAAATGGGGGGGGAACACATGGGGGGACCCCAAAAATGGGGATGGAGACCCCCAAAAGGCGGATGGGGACCCCAAAAACGGGGATGGAGACCCCCAAAAGGGGGATGGGGACCCCCAGAAGGGGGATGGGCACCCCAAAAATGGGGATGGAGACCCCCAAAAGGGGGATGGGCACCCCAAAAATGGGGATGGAGACCCCCAAAAGGGGGATGGACACCCCAAAAATGGGGATGGAGACCCCCAAAAGGGGGATGGGCACCCCAAAAATGGGGATGGAGACCCCCAAAAGGGGGATGGGCACCCCAAAAATGGGGATGGAGACCCCCAAAAGGGGGATGGGGACCCCAGAAAAGGGGGTGGGACCCGAAAAGGGGGTGGGGGACACTTTGAACTGGGTTCAGGGGGACCCTGTTTGGAGTTGGGGTCTTTGGGGCTGGGGGTGACACCTGGGGGTGACAGTGACCCCAGGGGGTGACACCCCCTTGGCGTGTGACACCCGTGGGTGACACCGCGTGTGACAGTGGAGGTGACACGGTGTGTGACACTCTGTGTGGCACTGTGTGTGGCGCTGTGTGTGACTCCGTGTGTGACACTGTGTGACACTGGGGGTGATACTGTTTGTGACCCTTTGGTGACACTGGTGACACTGTGTGACCCTTTGGTGACAGGGATGCCGAGGGGCCCCCCCTGGCTGTGTGTGACACTGGTGACACTCTGTGTGACACTGGTGACACTGTGTGACCCTTTGGTGGCACTGGTGACGCTGTTTGTGACCCTTTGGTGACAGGGACGCCGAGGGGCCCCCCCTGGGCTGTGTGTGACACTGTATGACACTGTGTGTGACATTGTGTGACACTGTGTGACCCTTTGGTGGCACTGGTGACACTGTGTGACCCTTTGGGGGCACTGGTGACACTGTTTGTGACCCTTTGGTGACAGAGACACCGAGGGGCCCCCCTGGCTGTGTGTGACACTGTGTGTGACACTGTGTGACCCTTTGGTGGCACTGGTGACACTGTGTGACCCTTTGGTGACAGGGACGCCGAGGGGCCCCCCCTGGGCTGCCGCATGCTGCAGGCCATGGGCTGGAAGGAGGGCAGCGGGCTGGGCCGGCGGCGAGCCGAGGTGACAGCGGGGACAGCTGGGGACAGCTGGGGACAGACAGGGGACAGCTGGGGACAGCTGGGATACACAGGGGACAGGTGGGACAGCTGGGGACAGACAGGGGACAGCTGGGGACAGCTGGGACAGCTGGGACAGACAGGGGACAGCTGGGGACAGCTGGGACAGACAGGGGACACCTGGGGACAGCTGGGACAGACAGGGGACAGCTGGGACACAGGGGACAGGTGGGGCAGCTGGGACACACAGGGGACAGGGGACAGCTGGGGACAGCTGGGATGACACTGTGTGTGACACTGTGTGACCCTTTGGTGGCACTGGTGACACTGTGTGACCCTTTGGTGACAGGGACGCCGAGGGGCCCCCCCTGGGCTGCCGCATGCTGCAGGCCATGGGGGGGAAGGAGGGCAGCGGGCTGGGCCGGCGGCGAGCCGAGGTGACAGCGGGGACAGCTGGGGACAGCTGGGACACACGGGGGACAGGGGACAGCTGGGGACAGCTGGGACACACGGGGGACAGGGGACAGCTGGGGACAGCTGGGACAGACAGGGGACACCTGGGGACAGCTGGGGACACGCTGGGGACAGCTGGGGACAGACAGGGGACAGCTGGGGACAGCTGGGATACACAGGGGACAGCTGGGACACAGGGGACAGCTGGGGACAGCTGGGACACACGGGGGACAGCTGGGGACAGACAGGGGACAGCTGGGGACACACAGGGGACAGCCAGGGGACAGGGGGACATCCCTGGGGAGAGGGGACAGCTAGGGGACAGCAGGAACATCCATGGGGATAGTCGGGGGGGCAGGGGGGACACGCATGGGGACATCAGGGACAGCGGGGACACCCAGGGGCGAGGGGACATTGGGGACATCGCTGGGGACATGGGGGACATCAGGGAGTGAGGGGACATTGGGGACAGCAGGGCCAAGAGGGGACAGAGGCAGACGTGGGGGGACATCGGGGGCAGATGTGGGGACATCGGGGGGGACACGGGGTGAGATTTGGGTTTTTGGGGTGAGATTTGGGGGTTTTTGGGTGAGATTTGGGGGTTTTGGGGCGTTTGGGGTTTTGGGAAATTTGGGCGATTTTGGAAATTTGGGAATTTGGGGGATTTTAAGGGGATTTGGGGTGAGATTTGGGGTGAGATTTGGGGATTTTGGGGTGGGATTTTGGGATTTGGGGTGAGATTTGGAGATTTTGGGGGGGACACGGGGACATTGGGGGTGTCCCAGGGAACGGGGCCCGGGCGGTGACAGTGACACGGGGGGGGGACCGGGGGGACACTGGGGACACAGGGAGGGGCTGGGGGACGCCCAGTGACCTCTCGGTGACGTCATTGCGTCCCCAAGGCCTGGGGGACCCCTCGGTGACCCCTTGGTGACGTCATTGTCCCCGCAGGCCCCCGCCCGGCCCCGCCCCGGGGGGGTGACACGGTTCAGCGAGGGACCCTGAGGCCACGCCCACTCCGAGGCCACGCCCACCGCACGCGGAGTCCCTCCCCCTCCCCCCCCCCCCCCGGTTGTCCGG